GTTTCAATAGTCGTCCTCCGTTGCTTGGTAAATACTTTTTTTCAAATGATAGATAACGTATTGCCAAAAGCTCTGTTTTTCAAGCCTGAAGACAACGTAATCAGCATTATGCACTATTAACTTCAACAAAGAAAAGCCCGCCTAGTTACTAAGCACCCTTCCACTAGTGAGCAACTCACCACCAGCAATTTCTTTGAATTTCCACAGCTTGCTCGTCCACTGTGAGGTTCCGCCTCATGCCTTTATCAACAGCGAACTACGTAAAGGTAAACAACATGAATGTTAGATGAATTTAGTGCTGCTGGTGTCATATATGATCGAGGAGGTATGGACTTTGGCAAGAACGCCAATGTTATCATGAATACTAATTCTAGTAAAACACGAGTTTTAACGTAAATTTTACATGAATACACTACATCTTACTGCTATAGGACTATCCTTAAAGGCAGTACCCGGACAAAACCAGTCACTTTGAGTTTTCATCAAATTATGAAAGCCCACTGTCTGTCTAACTAAGCTTCTCCCCAGGTTCAGGCAAATATTTCGCCGTAGTAAGCGAGAAAACCGCCCCGGACATTGGGGTTAACCCGCCCTTCCAAATCAATCCGCCCACCCAGTGATTTTCTCCTCGGCACCGCCCTTGTTCGGCTTCTCTTTAAAGCAGCGCTTTTTACCGGAAAAGCATGCAATCGTTTCGAGAGCGAATGCCGAATGTTTGAAGTCGTCTTTCTGTCACTCGTCCTTCTTAATCCAAAGAGGGTCCGGAATCTCTGTATTTTTGACAATTCATGGTAATTGAATCTGCTACTCCGTTCAGCACACCGAACTAGTGCAGACTGGAAACCCAGAGTCCAAATTTTGCCCGGACAGTGCTTTCAATATAGCGACAGGACGAGTGCTCTTGTGGACATTTAATGATAATTGCCAAATTAAATAACACCTTACATGCCAGTTTATTGTACATCTTTTAGGAGTTCCATCAAAGTTTTATCTATTTCATTTTATAGGTTCAATCACAAAATAATTGTATAGACGCTCGCTCTTGTTGTTAATTGCTCTTTCTCCATGTTGGCAACATCCAAAAAGCATTTCTCAGTACTGCTCAAAAGGACTTCATTTTTCAAAAAAGTAGGGGACAATTGTGTAGAAGGGTCAAATGTCAACACGTACACTGTCTGCAACGATCTTCTATTATTTCAACTTTGACATAATGACTCTTCGGCCTCCTCATTAGACAGGATTAAAAAGAATGTATATATGTTTCACAGGATTTATAGACTTGCAGCGTGATGATACATTTAAAAATTGCATTACCGGGCTGCCCTAAAAGGAAAACTTCTGTAAAGGCTCAAAAGGTAAACTGCTCAAATGCTTGAGATACCCTATCATTCTCGTAAAATTTGAGTCAAATGTCAGCCTATATATAGATCGCCTTGGAACTGCGCCGAACTTTCTGGAGAACATTGCTTAGTAGAAGAAGTCAGTGGAAAGTTCTCCTATAGGACTGAGGGACCGCTGGAATTGTGCACAGAGATGCCTGCGTATACGAACAAGATGAGTTGATCAAAATTATATCCAATCTGCTTGAACCTGTGATCATTTCGGGTGTTAACAAACCCAGAGATGAATAAATAGTTTGGCGCTTTCATAAAGAAATCTGTGTTAATGATAACAATGTCTCAAATTTTAGAGGGCAGGATAGTAAAAAATAAAGCATGTTTGACGCCCTAACTGAGGGGAAACTAGCCAGACTAGCTCGAAGGTGCAACTCATGTTAATTGAGCTAGAACTGTGTAAGTCTCACACATATCACGATTGTTACAAAATGGTATGCATTCCTTCCAGATCTTGTTATTTAAAAATAGGCTAAAGAGCCATTATGCCAAGAGTACAAATAATAAAACAATTATTTTACACATTGTGAAGAAATTCGGCTTTCTCCCTTCAGATATGCTTCTACACTCAAAACATGAAGTCGTTTTAAGTTTTGCTGGAGCTGTGGATATTTTATGGAAGTTGTCAATAAGCAGACTTCCACACGATGACCTTGTAAGTGGACTTATAGAGTGAAGCAGGTAAAATTTTATAAAATGGAACTAGCACACAGAGGTTCTTTTATCCCAAATTTCATGAAACTTACTAAAATCCCATAACAGCTTATCGTCTCTAACATATTTAAGAGTAGACCTACAGCAGTGAGACGCAGTATAGATTTTTCAAGTACAAATCCAGAGAAATTTTTCGCCTTATCTTCAGGATTTAGACGAGCTTCATACATGAAAAAGTCTGTACTGAAAAAAGAAAAGAAGATGGAATTTTTGATGACTTCACGAGATAATTCACTTGAATGGCGACATTACAGCTTGAACAATTACTTTCGAACTTCTGA